CTATGCATTCTAAAAAAAAAAGAAATAATGTATATTATAACATAAACTTTATAGAGAAAAGTTTCTGGAAAATATGGCATTGGAGTTCTTTTAGTGTGATTTGGACAATATAGTCACAGGCAATAGAAAAATGTTTAAAACATATAAATTTTCTTCTTAACTAAAAAATATGTTGAAGCAGCTGAGAGAGGAATTGTAAGGCATACTTTTCCATGACCTGATATTTTTCATGATTGCACACAGCCTTAAATAACATAAAGATACCAAAATCCTCTAAGTAGACTTACATATTACACTAGTATTTAATGCAATTATAAAACTCACTCATAGACCTCAAGTAAAATTATAGAATTCACTCATAGAATCCAACTAAAATGTAAAATTATCTTACTTTTACATTTATAAAAAACTGTTGGATTACCATCTCAGTGTAAGAACAAGAATTGCCTAACTAGTATTTTGAAAATTTTATTGAAAACTAAAAGCTAGTGGATGAAGACGTAATAACTTCTGAGTAGTTATATCAACTAATATTAAAAATAAGATTCTCAGGTTTCTAGTTCATATTGTGCATTTATTTATGGTAAAATTGAGAAATGCACACAGATTTATATTGGAGCTCAGATTTTTATGGGCACACACAAAAACTAAGAGTAAAAGTAACACTATATTATGAATGATGATAATATTTTGCATTTTAAATTCTTCTATAAAGAAAGTCAAAACACCTTAATGGCTGATTATCTTTTTAATTAAGTTTATTTGCACTTTATACTACTTTTAATATACAATAAAACAGAAAAAGTTTTATGATTATGTACTCATGTTAATTTAAAGTAGGAATTAATCCTACCTTTAAAAAATTAAAGACAAGTGCACAAGACACTCTTGGAGGCGTGTAGTAAGAAAGAAACATTCCCTTTTTACTTAACCAACCATTACCCCTAGAAATAAGGAGGTATGTGAAGCTTATGGAAATGATTGCATGTAGCTAATCAAACTGTGCCAAATTAGAATAACATGGCAGGGAAATATCTTCAAAATTATAAGTGAGGAAAAAAATATTCACACACTTTATGTTTGTTACTGAAATTGCTAACACACTAGAGTGTAGTTTTGAAGACCATGATCTAGGGAAATCACCTGGGTTCCTATTGTCAATAAAGAAGAGAGTAAAGAAGTGGGAATAGAAGTATACAATGAATAATGTTCCTAGTAAAGATACAATTTTTCTTTCACCTTTTCGTTCTAAAACACTGAATTCATTGTCCATACTATAATACTTTAGACGTCTATGTCTCAATTTCATTTTTATAGACGTATCATGTGTTTAATTCCCTTTTATTGAAAATGCCAGATATGTATAGCAAAAGGATTTTCTCTTCTAACATAAAAAAATCTAAAATCAACCCTAATGTGAATCTTTTTAAAACTGAACTGTAAAAAACTGTGTAAGAATATATTCCTTTCAAAATTTTATTTTACTAGGTATTATTCTGCTGGCTCTATACATTTTCTTCTCTGAAAGCATACTAAGATGACTTATAGTAGTGCTACCAAAAAATATGAAAACACAGATATTCAAGCAAATACTGGAAATATACCCACTAGTAAGAACTCCCCAGTCTTCTCCCTCTTCTTAGCGAAGTCTTCCTTGAAAACACCTGTTGAGAAGTTTCTCTGAGACTTAAATAATTTTATAAGCCACAATAAGCGGTTACTTGTGACAATTAGTGATGATCTCTACTTGATTTTAGATTCTTATGTTAATATATAAAATAATTCATATGGAAATTGTTTCTGTGAAAAGTGCTTTTATAAATTTGTATAACAATCTATTTGCCTTACCTACCACAAATCTATGTTCCTATTTTTCAAAATAAATTTTATAACTTTAAAATGAATAAAATATTTCATTATAACAATCTTTTATTATGAGCCATGCTACTGAGGATATTTTAATCACTAGTCTATTGGTTAAACACTTCAGAGATGACTTCACTTCAGCTGAGATACTTGAAATAAAATCTCTTAAAAACCTGAAATAAAATCTCTTCTCGCAAAGTCCTCTTTCTTCATTAGCTTACATAATTGTACCACATCCATATTCAATAAAAATACCCTTATGCCCAAGAACCTACAAATCTCAACCTTAAAATTTTAAGCCCTATGACTCACATAAAATCTTTTGATACTAAAATAAATCTTAATTTGAGCTGTAACATGAGTCTTAGAAATCCTGAAGTTTCTAAGTTTTATGTCACCACTCTCTATCAATGCATCCCAGACAATTATGAAACTCTTTTCATTCCATCAATACAAATACACCATACACCTTCTACATGCTGGAAAATAAGATAAACCAGGTCTAGTAGCTGCTAGTCCAAGTGTCCTCTGATGGATTAAAATTCATCCTTACAAATACACATGAGATTAATAGCTTGCTTCCTCAGCAGGCTGAGTTAAATACACCCACTAATAAATGCACTTGAAACAAGATTAGGGGATACCTGAACACTTTAATTTAAACATATCACTTCAGCCCAGAGTATTTGTAGCATGCCAGTTTAAAAAATGAAGAAAAAGTAAGGTAACTAAAGTCAATTTACTCTGTTTTCCAAAGTAGATGTTGAGAAAAACCTGATACTTTTAAAAGGAAATTAACTTAGTAGGAATTTACAGAGCATCCCTTATAAGATTGCAAAAATTCAACAGAAAAAAAAAAAAAAGCCTGTTTTAACAATTTATATTGAGGATATTTTCAGATTTCCAGGGGAAGAGCAATATGGGAAATTGAGATGCGGGGGGGGGGGGGGGGGGGGGGACGGGGGGGGGAGGAGAGGGTACAGGGAAGTAAGGGGAATTCAAGAATTTAAAACATTTTTTCTGGGTCTTTATGGTGTGGATTAAGATTCAAGAAAAAAAGGAATGGCAAGGAAGTGTGTCCTTCTGTTTTCTGTTTAAACTATCTCTCTCCTCTTCCTGTGTGTGTGTGATTTGCTTTTCCTCAAGTTTTACTGCTAATGAGAAGAATCATCATCATCATCATCATCATCATCATCATCATCATCATCATCATCATCGTCACCACCATCCATCCACCCATCAAGCAATGACCAGCTTCAAGAACACTATGATATAAATACAATGTGGCACCCCAACCCTCAAAACCTCCTGGATACTTCCATCCGAGATTGTTCCTCACTAATAGACCAACTTCATTTTTACATGGGGCCTAAATAAGAATTCAACTGATAGAGCTTAAAGTAGAAGATCCAGCATTAAGCCTCTGGGGTACCATTGTAATGTCAATGGTAAAAATATAAGAAGAGTGTATAACATGTGTATTTGTGAAATGACTGTAAAAGATTTATAAATATATATATTTAACATCTCTCTTTAAAAAGATTATCATAAATACCAGTTTTCTACAGTCACAGAAAGACTTTCATGGAAACCATGATTTTTTTTAAGGGAGAAATTTCTTGTTCAGTTTTATTAAACCTCAAAAAGCCATGATTACTGGTATCAATAAACACTAAAAAGTGAAATTTAATGTTAGTACAATTAATACTTTGGTATATTCAGTGGCATCAAGTACAAGAGTCTCTTTTACAAGGGCATTATACTATTATAAGAAAATAAGTTTTGCTAAGTTTTAGCATTTGTTACATTTGTCTCAGAAAATATAAGGTTATGAAATTTTAAAACCCTATTTGAATAATAAAAACATTCCTTAAGTGTCATTTAAAGGTGTTTGCTTTTGAAAGCATAAAATAATGAACAAATTATTTTCATTTGCCCCAAACTAATCTTCCTCCCAAAGTGTCACTCATAGTTAAGCTCAGTTTTGAATTTCCAGTAGTGCTCACCCAGAGTAATTTGTAGTAACTCACATTCATAATAGAGGAGAATTAAGTTTTCCTGTGACACAAAATAGTGGGTAAAAGAAATGAGGCAATGACTCGACACAATACAGTCACCTGCTGCTGTTAAAATCTATGTCCACGCTGGGTCATTTTTTTCATATATCAAAACCTTCGAACAATACTATCTAATACATAATAAATATCACTTAGATATACAGAAAATACACAGTATGCAAACTAAATGCATCCTGGTATTCTTTATGGCAAGTGTCTTTAGTGCAACTTTGCTTCCTGTTTTCAAGAGCTCCAAAGCAGTCCATGACCTTCTTGTGAACTTTCTACATTCATCAATGACAGCAAAACACAGACCAGGAAAACCACAGGACAGAATAAATTGAAACTTTTCATAGACAGTTCCTCATCATTATCCAGAGTCTACATTTATACAAACTTTTGAAAGATCCTAAGAGTATATGTCACATTTCCAAAGCTTAAGCAACTTAGTGCATTATGCTGCAGTTTTAGTTAAAGAGTAGATAAAATTCATGTCCTTGAAAATACTTTTTAAATATCAAGCTGACTTTGGGGGTGGCAGTGAAAACTGGCTCAAATTGATTGAGGCTCTGGAATTCTGGCACGTTTCTATATTTCACTTTAGGTAGTTAACTCCTTAACATCTGGGTACACATTTCTCTGACTTGGCATTATATATTTTAATGGACTTAAATGCACTTTTAAAGTGAATTAGGTAAAACATTTTTTTTTTCTACTCTGGAAATCCTTTCTTACAGGAAAAAATGTAGAGCATCAAACAAAAATAAAGTAAAATAAACTATGAATAAACTTAACCTTGCTAACATTTTTAAAACTACAAAAATAAACTTTAAAAATGCAACAAAAGTAAGACATTTACATCTTGTAGATTTTAGACTATTTACATGGGAGAGAATATGTATAGATAATGTTGTACACAGGCAGTGGCAAAAGTGTAAACCATTTTCATTAAAAAAAAAAAAAAAAAAAAATCCCCTCTCACTGCTGCTGCCAGTGGCTTGTCCTGTAAGAAAGGTTTCAGGACAGCTCCCAAACCAGCAATAAAGTGAAGTCCCAGTGATGCTAAAAGTCTCCTACCTGAATTATGGACATCCGAGTGGCTGGGGTCTCGCTGGCATTAGTCCCTTGTCCGGTGAAGCTGGAGTGGCAGCCCGCGTGCCCCTGAGGAACAGTCAGGTTGTTGGAGGCCGGTTTGAGATACATCACCTCCGACCGGGGCGAGCTGAGGGGCAGGCGGGTCTGGTAGTCGAAGTACATGGGGGAGGTGGCCAGGGAGGGGCTGCTCACCACGTTCATGACGTTCATGGCGTTCCTCTCCTCCACCTCGCTCTGCACCAGCATGATATCGTTTTTGTTGATCTTCTTCTTCTTGCCCTTGCCCCCGCCCAGCTGCGGGTGGCTGTACTCCGCGATGCGGCAGTTGTAAGTGCGGATCTCCTTGTTCTCTCGCTTGCACTTGACAGCGATGGTGATCATGGCCGCGAGAAGGATGATAGAGATAGTGCTCAGAGTCACGATGAGCGGCAGCGACATGTCCCAGTGATGCTGCTCCCCGTTCACCCGGGGCACCCCCTCGGGCAAGGAGCCGCTCACCGAGCGGATGATGAGCTTGGCCACCGCGGACAGGGTGGGCTTGCCGTGGTCAGTCACCTTCACGACGAGCTCCACGACGGGAGTCACGTCCTCCCAGAAGGGGTGCAGCGTGCGGATCTCGCCGCTGGACGGATCTATTTCAAACAGGTGGTCATCGTTACCGTCCACGATCTCGTAGGTGAGGCGCCCGCTCTCGCCGAAGTCGCTGTCCAGGGCGCGCACGGTGCTCACCAGGTAGCCCAGGCCGGCGTTGCGCGGCACCTGCAGCTCGGCCGTGTCGTTCTGCAACGTGGGCAGCACGATCACCGGCGCGTTGTCATTCACGTCCAGCACTGTCACCCTCACGGTGGCATTGCTCTCCAGGTGCGCGGGCGCCCCCGAGTCCTTAGCCAGCACCTTGAACTCAAAAGCCTTGGTCTGCTCGTAGTTAAAGGAGCGCAGGGCGTAGATGGCCCCGTTGGTGGGGTTCACGGACACATAGGTGTAGATGGACACGTCGCCGATGTGCGAGGGCAGGATGGAGTAGGACACCGTGCCGTTCTGGCCCAGGTCGGGGTCCTGGGCGAGCACGGAGCCCAGGTACTCTCCTGGGATGTTGTTCTCATGCACCTGCAGCACGTAGAGTCCCTTGGTGAAACGAGGTGGGTTGTCATTCTCATCCAGAATCTTGACGGCGAAGGACTTGGTGGAATTGAGGGGAGGGGAGCCCCCGTCCCGAGCCACGATGGTCACGTTGTACTCGTCCTGTGTCTCCCGGTCCAGCGGGCGGTCAGTCACGACCGTATAGAAGTTATCGTAGTTCTCCTCCAGCTTGAAGGGCACCGATCCTCCCGACCCGCCCAGGCCGCCGGCCGCCCCACCTCCGCCCAGGACCCGGCACTGCAGCTGCCCGTTCTTACCGGAGTCGCGGTCAGTGACCCGCACGAGGGCGATGACGGTGCCTGGCGGGGCGGCCTCACTCAGCGCCCCCTGGCGCACGGAGACGAAACCGATGGACGGCGCGTTGTCGTTGCGGTCGATGAGCTTGACAGTGACCTTGCAGTGGGCCGGGATGGGGTTGGGACCCAGGTCTCGAGCCTGCACGTCGATCTCCAGCATGCCGTTCTCCTCATAGTCCAGGTTGCCTTTGACACGGATCAGGCCGGTCTTGGGGTCGATGGAGAAGAGCTCCCGCACGCGGTCGGGCACGTAGCTGCTGAAGGAGTAGAGCACTTCGCCATTGGGGCCTTCGTCGGCGTCCGTGGCATTCAGATCGATGACCACGGTGCCCATCGGGGAGTTCTCGGGCAGTTCCACCAGGTAGGAGGGCGCCTCGAAGACGGGGCTGTTGTCGTTGGAGTCGATCACCTTCACGTTGATCTGCACAGTGGCGGAGCGCGGCGGCTCCCCGCCATCCAGGGCGGTCAGCACGAGCGTGTGGTGGTTCTGCTGCTCGCGGTCCAGCGCCTTCTGGATGACCAGCTCTGGGAACTTGGTGCCGTCGCCACGGGACTTGACGTCCAACGCGAAAAGGCCGTGGTCGTCTCGGGTGAGCAGATAGGTGCCGAGCCCGTTCTCGCCCGCGTCGGGATCGTGCGCGCTGGTGAGGGGGAAGCGGGTGCCGGGGGCCGCGTTCTCCGAGATGTCCATCTCGATCTGGTCGGAAGGGAAGGAGGGCGCATTGTCGTTGATGTCTTGGATCTCCACCTTGATCATGCAGATCTCCTTGTCGTTGGCGAACACCTCGAGGGACAGCTGGCACTTGGCGTTGTGGCGGCACAGGGACTCGCGGTCGATGCGCTGCTTGGTATAGAGGAGCCCGCTGTCCGCGTCCACGTCCAGCAGGTGCGGCGCCGAGTTCTCCAGCACCCGGTAGCTGCCGGACTTGCTGCGCCCGCCGCCGCCGCGCTCTGCGGGCGGAATCCCCGGCTGCAGCCGCGCATCTTTGCCGATGTTGCCGATCACCGTGCCGGCCCCCTGCTCCTCCGGCACGGAGTAGTTCAGGTTTTTGAGCGTCAGGGCAGGGGCCCAGAGCAGAAAACAGCAACAGATGGAAAGGTACATCCCAGACCGGTGGGGTGGAGGCAGTGACAACCGGACCGGAGGGGAGAGCGAATGGGTGCGCGTCAGCCTGGAGCCCCCGCGCAGCATGCGCGCCGAGCCAGCCACAAGTCTGTGGGTCCTTCCTTCCCCCCGCTGCCGGGCTGCGGGACCCGGCGGGCCCTCCTGATTCCGCTCAAGTTCCCGAACCTGTTGATCTACAGCATCCGCACTGGGCGAGAAGCAGATGCTGCAGGAGCGCGGAGCCAGGCGGCGGCTCCCCGCGGCCGGGGAAAGCCCGCGGCTTTGTCTCTGCCGCCCGAACTTGCGGCGACTCAAACTTAGAGACGGTGCCGCGGATACAATGTAAATCGAGTCTGGGATGGGGGGGAAGATAACGAGCCTAGAATGCGTAGGTTTTCCTGGCTCCCGCTGGGACGCTGCAAATCCACTCCCGCCGGGAGCCTCCGGAACACTCTTCCAATTGGGTGGGGGAGGGAGCGGGGAGGTGTGTCTCCAGGCAGATGGGAAAGTGAAATCCTTACTTGTTTCTGGTCGCCTCCGGTGATGAAAGGAATGGGGCTGGGGAGCAGTGAAGAGAGAGTCAGATATATTCTGAAGCTTTCCCGGGGCGCTGTGAAATGTCTGCTTGCTTCTCTGGCGGGTCTGTTTTCCGGCCGTGTTTTTACTGCATTTAGAGATCTAATCTTGCATTTCTGGCTGAGGCGGCGGCGGCGGACTGCATCTCCCAGCCAAGCGTATTTTTTTCTCTCTCTCTCTCCTTTCCGAGCAGCCAAAGGGAGGGGAGGAAATGCAGTGCAAAGAACTAGTGTCCCGATTTGTAGTTTCCTCCCTCCGCCAAGCTCCTCCCTCTCTTCCTCGGAAAAGGCTCTTCCCCAAAGTCCGGAAAGCCACAGCCTGATCCGCGTTTGCGGTGTTAAGTCTACAGGGAGGGTGTGGGGGGAGGGAGGGGTGTATCGAGGTATCTCCGCCTCCGTTCGGACGACACACACTCTGATTTCTCTGCGAGAAGCCAGGAGCCGCAGCTACCATCCCATTCTCTCCCGGCGAGCAAGGACTTCTCTCGCTGCAGTTTAATTCCAGTTTGCGTGGCTTCTCGGGCGAAAGGAAATCAACAGGCAACTCATGGTTGGATGTGCAGCTTCAGGGGGGGAGGGGGAGGAGGCGGAATGGAAAGGAAGGGGGAGCCACCTCCCAGCCCTCGCACACACACTCTCCCTGTCTCTCGCTAGAAGGGAAACAGGCTCTGCATTCACAAGGCTGGACCGTCAAGTGCCTCTCTTTTCTTCCTATTCAGCATCTCCTTCCAATGGCCCTGCCTCCCGGTCCTCGTCATCTAGAAAGGAAAGGCTTGGCGAGGAATAAAAGTGGTAAACATTTGAAGCGAATAAAGTGCAGGTCTTTTTTTTTTCCCCCTTCCAAAAAAAAATATTTTTAATAGTAGGAACGAGCTGGATAGAAGAAACACATCAAGGGTGGCGCGATGCAGTCTGCAGTCTGGCTCTGTCTCTGGGCGGCTCGGGGAGGGCAGAGGGCGAGGGGCTGCGGCCGCGCCGGTCCAGCCAGGGGCGCCCGCCCCGCGGAGCTCCCTCCGAGGGGATGTTAGACACGGGTCTGTCCACGCATCATTTCAGGTCCTCGAGGCGCCTGGCCACACAGGGATGACACATCCAGAAATGCAGGTGCTCCGATCTGCCGGGTGAGTCAGAGGCAGCGGAACGAATCGTATTCACTCTCGCCTCCTGGTCTTCCCTGCACAGGCATTAGTTGCGGCTTCCTCCCGAGGCTTTCTCTGACTCACTCCACGGGAAGGAAAGCCAGATTCATGTTTTGGAGAAAGAGGAAAAGGCGAGAGCAAAGGGAGGGAGGGAGGGAGGAGGGAGGGTGAAGCTGAATCCAGCGGCACTTTTACTCTACCTCTCTCTGCCGGAGTCCAAGGCTCGCAAAAACAAGGCGTCTGTTTTGCTAGGTGTATTTATTTGTTTATTTAGGAAAAAAAAAAAAGCCTTTCCTTTTGCTTAGGCGTGAGGAACCACCAAATCTTTCAGAGTCTTTTTGGGGAAATCAGGATTCCAGTGAGTGTTCACAGCTTAGCCCCGCATCACAGTTCAGGATTTTCCTCCCAATGTTCTGTATTCACCAAGTCCAGCCCCGGTGTGCAGAGTTAATTGTGCAGTCCGTTGTGGAGGGTTTTGCTTTTTTTTTTTTTTCCCTCCTTCTCTGTCACGGGTGGTCTCTTTCAATCTGGTGTCTGTCAGGATCAGCTCGCAGCCTGCAAAAGACGTGCGGATTTCAAAGCAAATAAAGCCATCTCCGCAAGCCACGCATCGAAGGAGAAGAGAGACGGGAATTCAACAGTTGGAGTAACGTCTCCCCAGCCGCCCTCCGCCGCTGCCGCAGCCACCGGCTCGCAGTCCCAGCTCTCTCCCCAGCGCCTCTTGCTGACTGACTATTCACCTCACGCCGCCGCTTAAACATTGATACTGATTCCCTGCCAGCCAATCCGCACGAGGGGCAAAGCCCCGCCTCCTCGGCCCGCGCCCAATGGGAGGCAGAGAGGAGACTGGCGGGGGCGGAGCCAGGAACCCCAGCGCCTCGGAGTCATTGATTAGATCAGTTAGAAGGGAGACCGGCGGGGCTAGCCCAGCCCTGCGCTCCGCAGTCGCGGCGGTGCCCCAGCCTCGCCGCCGGGTCCCCGAGTGTGGGACTATGGGGAAGGTCCTCCACCGCCTTCCTCTGGAAAAGAGAGAAGGCACAGGGGAAAAATAAAAAAAAGTTAGGCAGCGGGATGTATGCAGGAACCCGGATCGCAGCTTGCTTGCAAAATAAGGTAGCTGCGGTCTTCCCGGTGGGTTTCTGCACACACACACACACACACACACACACACACACACACACACACACACACACACTGGCACCACGGACACACCCATAGCAAGGGAGGCGTGGATCTCTGGCTCCGTGTGGACCCGTCTGAATGAGGTGCAGAGGGGTGTGTGTGTGTGTGTGTGTGTGTGTGTGTGTGTGTGTGTTTCCGGGGTGGGGTGGGGGTGTGTGATGTGTATTTCAGTGAGTGTGTGTGAGTGTGAGGGCGCTCGCGCGCCCGCTTCTGCCAGCCCTGGTGCAAACACACCCGGAGCAACAGCAATCAATATGTAACTTCATCCTCTGAGAAAAATCAGCTGTCCCCAGGCACCCATGCAAGGGAAGTCCCTTGATTATGAAAGTGTTTCAGAAGACTAGTAGAAGCCCAGTGAAAGGGAGGTCGCCTCTCCCTTGAGGAAAAAAAACAAAAAGTGTCTCTCCTTTAAGGAGAAAGGCTCGCTGTCAATTCAAGCTTTATAGCTTGTTAAAACCCAAATCTGGCTAAATGATATTTAGGGCTCTACCCTTTTCAGTCACCCCCTCTCAGCCAAGATTCAAGGTAAAGCTGACACGCGCCCACCAACAGGCAGTAGGTTGGATGTTTTATTAGCCTCAGGCTTGCTGTTAAAGTTCTATAAGGTAATTTGATTTTATCTCCTTAAGACCAAATTTCAGTGTTAATAACCACATTTGAAAAAACTCTTGTGCATAGCAGCTGAATCATAAACATGAAGGCAGATCAATGGGAGATCTGTTAAGACTCCTGTTTTGTAAATAACACCACCAACACCAGGATCATACATGCACAGGCACACACAGAAGGTTTAGGGGAAGGGGCTGGAAAGAGAAAGAAAGAAAGAGGGAAAGAGGCTCCTGATTCATTTACTTCTTCAACTTCAATACCTAATCTCAGAGATTCTTTCCTCCCAGACTATTATCGCAAACATGCACTAGTGAGGACTGGTTTGCTAGTGACCCAGCAGTTCTTGGAAAGAGTTAAGAAGAAGAAAGAAATTGAAGTATTGAAATAGAAAAGGTGAGTGTTTTGATTGCTATAGTATTGATCACAATTCATAAATACTAAAGTTAAGTTGCCATTTATAAATTGTGAATGACTAAAGTACAAGTCTGCAACATGAATCATTCAAGATTCAAAGAAAATCAAATCCAGACTTACAAGAAAGTTCTGATGATTATTGTTGGGGTAATTGCTTGAACATTCAGGTTTTTCTAAAAGTTATTTATTTCCCAGTGAATTCAATGATATAAACCTACAGTCTGAATTTGCAGTCAGATCTGGATCCAAAATTCACCATTCTCTTAAGAGACTATTTTTAACCGTTGAAATTTTTAGGGAGGAGCTTTTAACAGCCAGACCTCCAAATCCTAAAATGGCTTTGTATTTTCTCTAATAAGTAGTTTGCCATGCCTCTACCTTTGCTAACCAAGGGAGCTAAAGCTTTGTAGAAATCTGGATTGTGTTGTGCTCAGTGGGTGTTTAACCATGCTGCCCTGTGAAACCTGATCTTAACATCTCTTTGACTTTGGTGCCTCTGTCCCAACTTATATACCTTGAAAGGTGAGGCTTTGAAGCTTTAAAAGTTGCAGCTAACTTAAGTAAAGAGTAGTGATTATACACTCACTTATTAATCATTACTTTTTTAATACAACAAACCTATGGCTTTTTTTGCATTGCATACTAATTCAAGGAAAGTCATAAAATATGCTTACATGAGGTTTATGAGAAAGCAAGAACAAGAGAACGAAAAAAATTCCAAGGAAAGGGTAGTGTGGTTTATTGATTAGCCTTGATTATATGTTCTCTTGTGCAAATAAGGTGAGAGACAAGGTTCCTGAGACCAGTGATAGGAAACATCCTCCTAGACATGAATCTGCCCGCACCCTTCCAGAGTAATTATGTCACAGCTCCCTCTACTGTATAGAAAGAGAACTACCATGCTTATGTTGCATACCACAGGGCTTCTGCCAAAGGAGTAAAATAGAACTGCAGCAGATAACTGACTTACATTTTATGTAATTTGTAGTATTGAGTTTTGTTGTTAAAGACTAACATATACCCAAAATAATTCATTTTTATCATGATGTCTCATCCTTATTTTATTTTTAAAGGAAATGGAATCAACTAGTACTTCTAATTCTTTGGCTTCCCTTTAATCAGACACAATTTTTAAAATTATAATCAGTACTAATTTCTAGCCATCTCATAACTTCTACCTCTTTTCACCAAATATATTTTTTCTGTTTACAACATAGTTATTGGGGTGTTTCTTTTAGACTATGCATAAAGTATTGAGGTCATTTTTTCAAAACAGAAATGATGTAAATATGGTCAAACAGTTCAAAAATCCTATTGGTTTTTGTACTGTTGTAAATAGGCTATGGACATATAAGATCCAGTTAAGGAATATAGAAGAATGTAGTGCTTTTCATAGCTAATGATACCTACAAACTCACAGTTCTCAAGAAGAAACTAGTTCATAATCATGATTTATTATCATAAATGATAATCTTAACATAAAATCAAAATACGATATTCCTTTTTATTTACACATATATTGAATAGCTAAAGATATTGTATGATTTAATAAAGATATGTAAGTATGCACACTCATTGAGTAATTTACTTGGAAAGACTTCTATGAACCTAAAATTTTTAATTAATAAAATATTATGCTGTCTAAGTGAGTTTTAAAATAAATTAGTATATTGAAATAGTTTCAAACAGAAGTATTAATGCCTATGTTTTTGGGCTGATAAAGTCTGATTAATATTGCTACATTGAATTAATAATTGAATTAATATTATTAAGGAGTAATCTTAAAGATGCCTTTTAAATGGATTCTTGTGTTATTGAAGTTATTTAGCTTAGTCTCTGAGAGATTATGTAAAATTCATCTTCACTAGCTGCAGTTATAGTTCAGAGAGTTTATGCTTAGAGCTATAATGGCAGCAGTTATAATATTCTTCTAAAACTTGTTCTGCTTGCCATGTTCTTGATTTCAATCAAATGCAGTTCTTAAGAGATTTTTTATGCTATTTAAACACAGCCACTGTTTCTATGAATGGAAAATTCTTCATTCTTTCCTTCCCCATCATTTTTACCATTATTTTACTACATGGTTTCATATTTTTAACAGAGAATTTTTAAAGATAAATTTATTAACTAAACTGTTTTAAATATAATAAGTACCCAAAGTTTCCATATTATATTTAAATCCTCAAATGTATGATAGGATTTCATTCACAGCTAGTTCTTCTAGTTTTCATTGTCTTTTACAGGTTTCAGTGGCTCACCTCTAACACACCACTACTGGCTACTTGCTGACGTGAAATCAAAAATGTCCTTTATAACAAATAACAAATTCACACTTCTAATTGGATAATTATTAAAACATATATTTCGTCTTTATGATAAAAATGAATTTAATAAAGCAACACAAATCAATTAACATGTTAAGCTCCAGGGGAAATGTTTATAAATTTAAAGGTTTTTGAGAACTCCTACATTACAACAAAATAGAAAAAGTGTAAAATATCTCCAAAAATAATCACTATTTTAATAGAATATTATTTTACTAATCGTATTTAAATTATTAAATCTTGCTATTAGAAAATATTTGTCAAGAAATAATACATTTTAATTTTTCTATATTTATGTATATGTTATGTTACAATTTGATAACATATACTTATGTATGTGCTTTCCTTCCATGCATAGGGCGTGTGTTCCCAATGAACAGTCAAAAATAAAGTTACAGGATTAACCCTACAAAAACAGGCAACTTGTATTAATCTGCAACTCACACAATAAATGAACTAAATTTCTAAGTGGAACAGTGACCTATTTCAAGACAATTATTTTAAAGTATTGAGGCATATTTAAAAGTTAATTTAAGATTTGCATATCTCGGTTTTGACAATTGAAGGATACTTGGTGTGGTTTAAATAAATTGTGTGTTTGTATACTTGTGTGCAAACTCTTACTTCAGAGAGAGAGAGAACTTATAAAAACAGAAATTGTCAGAGCAAAAGTGAATCCGTCACATTATATCTAATGATAAATATATTAGCATATGTTAAAGAGGAGTTGGATTGCTGTGCAAAATGAGAAACGTATCTTAAGCTTTATAAATTCCAAGTGACATATTTATGCTTTTTCCTGAGTTAACTAGAAATAAAAGGGTTCAATTAATTATGAAACCTCAACTCTCCTGCCCCATAAGAAGTTACATGCTAGCTCCTCCTTGTGGTCACTTTCATGATAAATAGAAACATTCATTTTAGAAATTTCCTTCATAAGACAATTAAGTTTGTTTACCTTGCTTACTACTTTTTAAAACAAATGAAAAGTTTGTGAGGGAAATAGTTAATTTATAGGTGTGACTGCTAGATCGCTAAAAGAAAGTGGCTGAAGTTGGAAACAAAAATAGGTATTTCATGCATGGTGCAGCAATCCCATAGTTTCTCATAGTACACATGTTAGGACAATTCTAAAACTGAGAGACTAGCCATTGGAGAGATCCCAGGAAATTTGCTTCAGTAGGTGGCACT